GGATGGATAGATGATAGATAGATAGATAGATAGATAGATAGATAGATAGATAGATAGATAGATAGATAGATAGATAGATAGATATAGAAGGAAAAGTTGGGTTTTTGGTCTTCATACTGCTATCTCTAAACTGATGAAGCTACTTAAATTACCCAGTATAGTAGGCAATAGAACAGGTGGTTTGCACTAAAGCAGGGGTCTCCAATCTTGATAGCTTTAAGACTTGTGGACTTTAACTCCCAGAATTCTCCAGCCAGCTGGATGGAGAATTCTGGGAGTTGAAGTCCACAAGTCTTAAAGTTGCTAAGTTTGAAGACCTCTGCCCTAATGGCTTTTTAGGAATGGGAGAATTCTAGTTACTGAACAGAAAGATGCAAACTGATCCTATTCCCAACATGAATGAACAACCTGCAGCTGGCTCATAAAGTGGCTATGAGAATCAGACTTAAAACCAAGGTTATTGAGATAAACTCAGAATACCAGTAAATTCAGTAGATATTAAAATAATGATAATCCCTGAACCGAGAGCAACTGCACTAACTCAGAATCTGTTTATGTCACTGAGCTTACGGGAATGAATACTAAATACCGTAATCTTCCTGTACTGATCAAGCTGCCAAGTATTCTGTTGTTCTAGAAGCAAATTCTTATAAATAAGTAATTATGAAACATCTTATCACCATTGAGAGCTTGGTGACCATTGAGAGCTCTTGTCAGTGTGTACCTGATAGGAAACACAGCAAATGAGTTAATTCTACATTATTGTTAAGCCACACTAACAGAATCTTGCAAATCTAAAAGTACTCCCACCATCTCCTTTACAGCCTGAGAAACTAAACATGGGTCCCTTCTAAGCATCTTGCCCTGTCCATTATCTAGCTGCAGGCTATGCTGTCTCTTATCTGGTTATTCCCTAGGCAGCATCTTTGCCTCAACTCCCAAAGTTTTTCCCACATGCCATTTCAGTTTTACATTTACAGTTGCCTGAAATGGACTGGCTCTATGTAAGGGTATTTTGCTCTTTTATGAATTCAAAATATGTTCTCAAAAGGTTTCTTCACTTAGAGATGGAAAGCAGTACATATGAGTGTTTCAAACATCCTGAATTACAAGACTAGGACTGGAAAAATCTGGGTGACCAATAGAAAAATATAACACTCTGCTGCTCTCTAATAATTATCTAGATTTCCGCAATCAGATCTGGTAGCTTATCTACATTATAACTGGCAACTGGGCAAAAGAGAGGCAACAGCCCCTCATGGAAGCACTCTCTTTCCTCCCTTCTCTTATCAACCACTACCCCGTAAATCAACATCAATCATAAGCGGAGGAGCTGGCTGCATCAGTAATACTTGGAGGAGTTATGCAATATACACTAAATAACCAACTTCACTTTTAGTAAGACAAATAAAATGGTAGTACCATTACAAAATCTCATTTTAGAATTGTGCTGAAATTGTTATGATCTCCTGTCCGAAACTGGCATGGCTTCCATTCTAAGGGAATCTGGGAACCAGATCGAGGGAAAAGAGGAAAAGGGTATTCTCTTATTCCCCCACAGAAGTCATTTTTCAGGACATAGGAACTAGGACTGAAAGAATAAAGTAAGTGGGAGAAGATAGGATACATGTAAGATGGAAGGACTTGGGCCAGCTAGCTGGTAAGCAATTAAACACAGACTCAAATAGCAATACTATAGTTGCTGAACTATACTTACTAATCGGGATGGAGCCAGAGGCTTTCTAGCGGTGTGTACAAACTGAGACTCAAAGCCATGTGTTCCCAAGCTTCTCGTAGAAGAGCTGTCTGCCAAACTATAATTTCAAATGCGACAAAAGGGGCAAAAAACAAATATTAAACTATACACTATCTCTCTCTTTTTGGAGAGAGGGTCCTGGCCCCACTTATTTTATCTTGATCTCACTAAGTTTTTGGAATGCCACTAACAAAATGCAACAAAGGCTGTACCATTATTGCTCTCTCAAAGGGTTTGCTAAAATTCATTGGACCTGTCATCTAATACATTAATTAAAACAAATTTAAGCATTTTTGTTGACTGCCCCCGAGAGTACAGAGAATAAAATACTTCGGTCTGGTTGCTAGAAACTACTCATATGTATATAAACAGTTTAAACTCTTTATTGTCATGGCAGGTCTGCAGTGTCCCATCAAACAGAATTCCCCTCCTTTCTCTCCTTAAAGGTTTGTGGTGAGAAGAACCGTTTTGAGAAGCTGATGGAGTATTTCCGAAATGAAGACAGCAACATAGATTTCATGGTAACAAAATGCATCAGAGGGGATGGTTGCTCGGTCATCCGTAAGATTTCCTCTAATACTCTTCTCCAACAGGCATAGTCTGCCAGGAGATTAGTTGTTGCTCATGCCATGTTTCCTATCCCTAATTAACAAAGAATAAGTTACATGTTTTAAATTTATGCAGTAATTCATGCTTCAGGATCAGAAAAGCAATTCTCAAAAAGGAAGCATCAGCCCTTATGGAGGCACAGGTTGGAGAAATGGACGAACAATGTCTCTAGCGGTTTTAGGCTTGGGTAAAATCTTTAGCATGCCTTCTGAATCATTTTCAAAGCATACTCAGTAAGTGCTCAATAAAGCATCATTAAAATTATCAATAAAGGGCTTAAAAACTAAATCAACTATAAAATGATATTCCCCATAATTAAAAAAAAGTCATTGAAACTCTCAATGTCAGTAAACACTTTTTCTAATTTTCAAAAGCCCAAAGTTATTCCTTTCTTGTGTGCCTTCAAGTTCCTGTTGACTCCTTCTGACCCAATAGCTCACTCAATTGGCTTTATACCTATTTTAGGAATAGAAGTCACAATCTCTCTCTCTCTCTCTCTCCCTCCCTCCCTCCCTCTCCCCCTATTACACTTAACTGGTTCTCCCAAAGTTAATATCTGATTATTTAAAAAATATAACTTGTGTATAATGAGTTCACACGACAAGATAGTTTTAACCACCAAAATCCCAGCCCTTCAAAACTATAAATCCTCTAGAAAACTTATTCTTTTCACTTTTTCTTCTCCATTCCCAAACATCTAGGTGGCTTGTATGCAGTTCATCAATATTGTGGTTCATTCTGTGGAGAACATGAACTTCCGTGCCTTCTTACAATATGAGTTTACACAGTTGGGACTTGATGAGTACCTACAGGTATGTGGTTATTTTTAATGGCTCTTAATTTCACCTTAATTGTTCTTCATTTGAAAAGTGCTTAGCAATTCTGAAATGTATACCATTGTTGGAAGCAAGCAATACAAGTTAGCTAACACAGTAAATATGTTTATTACTCAGAGTAAGAGATAGTGATGGGATATTTGAATGCTTCTCTACCTAATTTGCTGATGCTGTTTTATTACTTTTGGAAATTTTTCTCTATATACTGATAGAAATTAGAATTAAGTTCTTCATAGCTGAATTTCCCTTTTTTATTTACTTTCCTTATAAACAACACTTTACAATCTAAGTAATTCATTTTAAAACTGAAGCATTAATCTATAATATATAGGTTTTGAAGGAATAAAAGAATTTGGAGGTGATAAGAGCATTTTCCAAAAATGTTCCGGGAAAATTTTATGCCCTGGTTCTTTTAGCAAGTTTATTTGGGTTTTGTGTCATAAAACAACAACACCAATGCCTATAAACTTTTTATTAAAAATAAGAAAAAGAAACACATGCAGATGGACCATGTACTGACATTTATAATTCCAAAAGTTTATACTGTAAAGAATGACCACCCTGGCCAGATTTTTAATCAAGATTTTCTTCCTGTGATTTAACAGAAGCTGCGTTGTACAGAAAGTGATAAACTGCAAGTGCAGATCCAAGCCTATCTGGATAATATCTTTGATGTTGGTGCCTTACTGGAGGATACCGAGACCAAAAATGCCATCCTGGAACACATAGAGGATTTGCAAGAAGAGGTTGGACAGGTAGGGAACTGACTAAACAAATCCTATGGACAATGCACATCTTAAGATGGTCAAGAAGCAGCAATTCAGGAAGGTGGGTGGTTGGTGACAATCAGGTCACCGGGAGACAGTGGTGGGTTGCAGGCGGTACGCCCCGGTACAAGCGTGCCCAGAGCACTGGATACCTTTCCAGTACAGTGCTCCGGAGGGCCCACACACCCGCCTGAGCTCCTTACCAGTCTTTTAAGTCTTCAGCACTTCCACACACATGTACAGTGCCTATGTGATGCTCTGCTGAGCAGCTGGAGCATCATGGAAGCTTGCGGAGGCACTAAGACATATGCGTGCATGTACATGTGTGCTGCACACGTCCATGTGGATACCGCCGGGCCCGTTCCAATCGTACCAGTTGGAACGGGATCCGGAACTCACCACTGCTGGGAGAATGTATTCCATCCCTGCACCTGAAGTTCATATGCACAAAGTTCATAGTTGGTTGAGTACATAGGATATTTGTTGACTCTGCTTTACAGCTTGGACCTCCCAAAACATATTCTCAGTACATTGACTCTTTTCACAGCTCACTGAGAAACTCCAGGATGCAGAAAACGAATCCGAAGCCAAAATTGCTGAGCTAGAGAAACAGCTGTATCAGTCACGCAATGAGCTGGAGATCCTGAGAGCAAGAACTAGTGATGAGCCGGTATGGAAGCAAATGGAAAAGTATTAGGAGAGCTTTTGATCAGAATGGATTTCAAAATAAGATCAGGGCCAAAAGTTACAATCTTTATTATTGTGCATTACTGCACACTTCTGCAGTAAACTCAGGTTGTTGCTTTCAAACCTCAGTTGATATTGAACCTGTATGTTTCATTTTTTTTAAAAAAAATCTGTGTCTATTGTATAAATTTTAAAATTATTAGATGGAATTCATGTACCTGCAGTCTCCTGCATCACCATCTCACTGGAAGTGGGAAAAGAAATGCAGAGCATTTCAAGCTAAAACATTTTGGACCCGAAATATCCCCTTCCAACTTTAGAAAGTCTGATTTTACAAGAAGAATTCAGACTCATCTCAACCTTTCATGAACAGATCTAACCTTAACATAGATTGTTCCAGGTGTGCAACTAAAGCCAGGTTCCGAAATCCTGGTAGGCTCAGAACCTTTTAAATAAATTCCATATGTAATTAGAAGATTTGCTGCATCAGGTCAAGTATCCATCTAACATAGTTGCCCCTCCACAAAGCTCACAAGCTGCATGCGGCGGGCAGATATGTAGAATTAATTGGAAATAACAGATGATGAGAAGGTCCTATAATAGAGGAAGAATATTAATGTGCTCAACATAATTGCCATGTACACATGAAAGGGCTGACCTGATCATTCACTCTTTCCCTCATCTTTTCTTCTTCGCAACATACAACCTGTAGATGGCTAGACAATGATTGGTCAACTGATTAGTCATCCCAGTTTAGTCCTCCCAACAGTTGCAAAACTTAGTTAGAAATTTGTGTCCTTTCCCCCCCGTCACCTTCTGGCTTCTAAATGTATTTATTTATCTATTTGTTTTATTTCGTAAAAGTTAAAAAATGTGGTGCCACTAGGATCAGCTCTGCAAAAGCCAGTCACAGGGCTGGTTTCCTCACTCTTCACTTTTTTTTCTTTTTCTTTTTGATGTATTACATCCCACAGGAAGAAAATGGGTAAAGGAAAAACACTGGAGGAAAAGTGAATAGAAAGGCTTCATTTTTGTAGAAGACATTAAACCCATTTGAACAAAAGAAAGTTAATTTAGTCCTAAATTTCTTTTGGAGCAAAAATCAAACCTCTCAAGATTACTTGAGTGGATTGATTGGGTGGGTTATATTGTTTGCCTGACACATCAGTCTTCCCTGTGTCATGATCAATCATGAAAATGGAAATATTTGCAATTCAGAACCTGTCACATTGACATGGGCTTCTTTCTCTTAGGAGTATCTGTCCTATGGTTTTTTCCCCCTAAACTGATATGAGCTAGTGAGCTGTATAAAATGATTAAAAAAAAAAAATCTAATAAGCCCAGAATATTTTTTCTTTAAAAAAAAAAAAGGAAAATAAGTGTCAAGTATTTGTATTGTATTTGTATTTATTTATCTTGTATGCCGCCCACTCCCGAAGGACTCCGGGCGGCTCACAGTAGACAAGGGAAGGGGAAAACTGGACAAAGACAACACTTTAAAACAAAAACCGCAACATTCACAATTTCCTTGGGGCTGGATGTTTCACAAGCCCCCCGGCCTGCTGGAGCAGCCAGGACTTGGTGGCTTTGCGGAAGGCCGGGAGGGTAGTAAGGGTCCGGATCTCGACAGGGAGATCATTCCAGAGGGCTGGAGCTGCAACAGAGAAGGCTCTCCCCCGGGGGGTTGCCAGCCGATATTGGCTGGCGGATGGGATCCGGAGGAGACCCAACCTGTGAGATCTAATCGGTCTATGGGAGGTAATCAGCAGGAGGCGGTCTCTCGGGTACCCAGTCCATACCATAGCAGCATATTCAAGATCCTAGAAAATAAAAGCTGCTCAAATTCAGAATAACAGAATAAATTCACTTGGTTTTCTATTCAAAACTCTCTAAACTTTTTCTCTTAGGAGAAGCTAGATGAAATCAGCAAAGTTAACAAGCCAGAAAGTCCTTCTTGGTTCCCAATGCAGCTTCCACCAGAGTCAAAAATAACTCCACAATACTCTGCCTTGGAGCACAATCTGGAAGAACTAGAAGACAGAGGTTTTATCCGGATCCAGCGTGGGCCTGGCAGTGATAGCATCATTGGCATTGAGGTCCTCCCTGTTATTAATATTGAAGCATCTTCGTCAACTAGCACAGGTACATCCTCATGGGACAAGCAAGGGAAGGCCTTTCACTTGGAGCATTTTGCAATATAAATGAAGAAGTATAATTTTTTGCTGTTGAATGTTGTTTAACATTGCAATTCTGTGGTAGCCCCAATATAGTAATTTCTGGTCTGACCTCTCATTGAATAAAATAAAATATTACATTGGGCAAGAAATATACTGCTTAGTTCTACAAATTAAATGTTAATCTACATGTGAAGCAAGTGAGGTAAAGAACCTCATAACTTCATGTACAAAGAGGGTTAAAATACTGAACTTTATTTAGACATATATTTCTTTAGTCAATCCAAAGAATTTAAATTTCCTATTCTGATGGTGGAAATTCCAGAGGGAAACAAGTATATCTCAAAGAAGCCAAACACGGTTATCAGTAGTCTTTTATCAATTGATTGTAAATATCCAATGATAGTTGGATACTCTAGTGCAGTGTTTCCCAACCTTGGCAACTTGAAGATGTCCGGACTTCAACTCCCAGAATTCCCCAGCCAGCGAATGCTGGCTGGGGAATTCTGGGAGTTGAAGTCCGGACATCTTCAAGTTGCCAAGGTTGGGAAACACTGCTCTAGTGGGCAACCATAATAAGTAAATAAATAGATAGGTGTTAGTTGTACTGTGCAGTACATAGATTTTTTGCCATTTAAATTGCGTTAAAGTTCCCATCTATTAAATGCATTGAAAATAATCACCAAGTTGCCAATGTGCCCTGATAATTCACTATTCCCGGTTTGAGAAACCCTGCCCTATATGAATAGATTCCCACATGCAGCTAGTAGATCAAGGACAAGATTGGTGTAGAACTTTTCCTCCTCGGTTAATGTAGAGGATTTGTTTCCTTTGCCTCATTTTGCCTTAATGGACATTCAGGTAAGAAACACTCCAATTTGAATTGCTCCAACCCATCAACATTTGAACTATATGGTCTCCCAAATGGCTTATCTCCTGGAGACTATTCCGTGATATGCAGCAGCTAAGAAATCATCACTTATCATACAGGAGCAAGTATTTTAATATGGTTGGCTCATATACTTTTTCTTTCCAGGAGATTTAGACAGGATTATCTTCCAGTGGGCAGGACAGGAAGGCATTCCTCATATCTTGTTCTGTTTTCTTTCAGATTATCCCTCCCCATCTACATCTCCTGTCCGCAGTCTTGCTCCAGAAATACCACCAGCACCACCTCTACCTTCCACGAAAGGCAGTGATTCTGGGGCTTTCTATTCTTCTCAAGAGGAGGGGTTGCCACCTATTCCAACTTCTCTTCCACCACCACCACCACCACCCTTACCAGGGATCAATGAGCCTCCACCTGCCCCACCACTGCCTGTGATTGTAACTACATCTCAAGCTTCATCAACGCCTCCTCCTCCTCCGCCACCACCCCTCTTAACATTTGGTGGCCCAGTTGCTCCTCCTCCTCCACCACCGCCTCCCATGATTGATGGAGCAACTTTGCCAGCCAGTACAGTTACTGCAGGTAAATTGTATATAGTATAGTAGATCTTTCTTAAACAGCCATTCTATTTGCATTGTAAGATATATATTCATTTACCTCTCTCTTGAAATCAGAAGCTCACAAAAGAATTGTGAATTTAATGACATATAAATTTTTCATCAGTCAATAAATCAGTGAATCTGAACGGAAACATAATTAGAAATCTCAAACAATAGTCTGCATTGTTCAGTTCCTAATTCAAGAAAAGGATTGTTTGAATTTAAAAATATTGATGTATATGGTTCCTTGGGTATCTTATTGTATATAGCAGAAAGATATAATCTTAATATTTAAAACAACTATATATAAATGATATATTCAGTTACTTTAGAGTTGGGATACTTCCTTTGAGCTGGTGCTTTCATTCTGCACTTTTATAAAAAATTTCATTTACTGTAAATCATAATTTGTAATTCTGAAGAAATTTATTTTTAAAATTAATCTAAATCATCATTTATAGATTTTTGTTCATGCATTTAATTAATTAAAAGGGCAATTCTAAACTGGACATGTCTACTCAGAACCCGGATGAGCTCAGTAAAACTCACTGAACCTAACAGGTTTTCAGCCCAACAGGTTACATCATACATTCCTAACAATGTTAATTTGATTTTCTTGAGGATGACAAAGGTTTTGTGGTATTTACTGCTAAGTGTAAAGGGGATACAATAACTCTGGGGAAAAAGGGAGTATGGCAAATTACTTGCCAGACATCTTTTTTTTTCCCAATTGCTCTTCCTTAAAATATCATATGACCATATTATATGATCATATAATATTGCCAAGCTTTTCTTCAATAACAGAGGCAGCAGCCTTTTAAATAAATTAAAGTTGAGATCTTTCATCTCCAAAGTCTAGCTCCTAGCCTGAAGAATACTCAAGGCTAGAAATTAGGAACTGAGTAGAATTTATATTCCATGTTACCTCTATTTAGTTACTGTGTTTATTTCTTGCTTTTGCTTATAACGGCATTCATTAAAAAAAAAAAGAATTATGCTGAAAGACAATGAACAGGTCCAAATATTGTGCTAAACAGTTATTTTTTTTAACCATGGTTTATTGCATGGCCCACACATGGGATCATACATTACTGCTAAGTCTTAAACTATACTTTAGGTATTTTTATTATGTATTGGTAAGTTAAAATCAAAAGGGACGTGGTGGCCCAATGGCTAAGACGCTGAGCTTGTCGATTGAAAGGTTAACAGTTTGGCAGTTCAAATCCCTAGCGCCGCATAATGGGGTGAGCTCCCGTTACCTGTCCAAGTTTCTGTCACCTAGCAGTTTGAAAGAACATAAAAAATGCAATTAGCAAAATAGGGACCACTTTGGTGGGAAGGTAACAGCGTTCTGTGTGCTTTCAGTATTTAGTCATGCCAGCCACATGACCACAGAGACGTCTTCAGACAGCACTGGCTTTTCGGCTTTGAAACAGGGATGAGCACTGCCCCCTAGAATCAGGAACGACTAACACATATGTGTGAGGGGAACCTTTACCTTTACCTTAAGATAAAATCAGATTTGTGGAACAGTGAGGTTTTTTTTAAATAGTTTGAGCATTATTTAATATTGCTTTTTTTGTATTGAAAAATATTTATTTATTTGGAAAACATATATGGCTCACAATGAAATCCAATGAGAACACAATAAATATAACCAACACCACCCCACAATAACACCATGCATCCCAAACCCAGTCCCATAATGCCTCATTAACTTTACATTTATATTTGCTGGGTTTGCTTCTGGCCCAATGCCTGGGCAAAGAGCCAGATCTTCACAGTCTTCCGGAAGGTTAATATGAAATCTAATATAAATTGATATTTTCCATCTCTTTGGGCTGCACTATATTTTTCATATCTGCTTACAAACTGTTATTGCTGTGATCTTCCAAGGTTTTAAAACGGTTCTGCTAGTATTTCCTCAACTCCTTTATCTTTATTTTTAGTAGTATTTTCTGGGATTCTCTTAAATTCACTTTCCAAAATGTCTGGCTTTACCTTCGTTTGAAGTGAAGGTGGGGTATATAGTTTCCCCAGCAAGTTTTTGATGACCCAGGTAGCCTTTTGTAAGGCTGTTAGGACCTGGCTTTTCCCTCACTGTTCAGGTTTGGAGGTTAGGTAAGCCTTGTTCCTGGTGCAGTTTTATGATTGGAAAAGGTCATGTAGCCAGGATGCCATGAGTTATTGTTTTAACTGGTGGATTTTAATTTTTGTGTTATGCCAAAGGTTGTGAGGCGCATCTCTAAATAAATAAGCAACCTTATGGCTTAATACGTTGTGGGAATCAGCCAGCTTCACTCTTTAGACACTCATGAAATTACATAAATTGTATAAATTGGAACCTAGGTCTTCTCAATCCAATATTTTATCAATGATTGCTCAACGTTTCTACTAGTTTAGAAAGATTTAACTACATCCAAATTATCACAGATGAGAATTTATCTTTCATTTTATGCCCAATCTGTGAGAAGGCCCTTGCTGAAAAATAAAATTGGGAAGAGACAAATCTCTGAGATGGTAGAAGTTTATAAAGTACTTACAAACTTTCTTATTTGTTGGAAGCTGTCAAGATCAAGAAGCCTATACAGACCAAATTCCGTATGCCTGTCTTCAATTGGGTTGCTTTGAAGCCTAACCAGATCAATGGGACCATCTTCAATGAACTCAATGATGAAAAAGTCCTTCAGGTGGGTGCCTCTACCTTTTTGCTTTTCTCTTCCTTGCTCACCCAATACATATATCACTTTGTTCATTTTGGCTTTTCCTTGGTGCAGGAGCTGGACATGAATGACTTTGAAGAACAATTCAAAACCAAAGCTCAGGGTCCAGGCAAAGAATTCAGTTCCATAAAGACCAAGACTTTACAGAAAGCTCCCACTAAGGTTTCACTGATTGAATGCAACCGGGCCAAGAACCTGGCCATCACCCTCCGTAAAGGGGGGCTCAGTATCGACAGCATTTGCAAAGCCATTCAGACGTAAGTATGTCCAGCTTTTCTTGCTAATTTCACCTGCCATTCAAAAGGGAAGATTGAATTGAACACATTATGCATGTGCTCATGATCCACATTAGATATATGCAAAACAGTTAATTTTGTAATGGAAAGCTACTTACTGGAATGACATATATAGTTCTGTCATCTAGAAAAAAAACCTTTAGGCCTCTCCTACCTAACCAGTTACTCCCAGCCTACTTTATTCTTGTTTAGATACGACTTACAAACCCTCAATCTGGATTTTCTGGAGTTACTGATGCGCTTCATCCCAACGGAATATGAGATGACACTAATCCGCAAATATGAAAAAGAGCAACGTCCACTGGATGAGCTTTCAGATGAGGACCAATTCATGATCAAATTCAGCAAAATTCCCCGCCTTACAGAACGCATGAACATCATGACATTCTTAGGCAGTTTTGCAGATACCGTACAACTCCTTCTGCCAGTAAGGAACAAAGCAGGCAACTGATTATAACCAAGAAGTGGTGTCAATCATAATATGTAGGGTTAATACCAATTGGAAGAGCCTGAAAATGGTTATAAAAGTTGATATAGTATCTTGACTAATGATTCTTCTAAAATAGTATTTTTCTTCTTTTTCCGTCTTCTTATTTATTACAGGTTGCAGGAAAAAAAGGCATGATTTGCTGAATGGCTTAATAAGAGCAGCAGAATGTAAATTGCAACTTTGCATAGGAAGTAGATCGGGGCTAAATGTAGCGAAGCATTTTCAAGTATCCAATATTGTTGGGGGAGAGAGAGCAACAAATCTGGCACTTAAGACATCAAATAGCAGCAGGCAGCAAATCCTTTTTATGTTTTTTTTTAAACTTTTTATTCTACCAACTATTTTTTCTTCTTCTATCAACTTGTGCTGATTGTGGAAGTAATTCTAACCCTTGCCAAGCCTGTATGTGGAATTATCCACTATGGCATTATCAGGGTTTGTCATCGAATTCCCAAGCCACGTTAAATTACCTCAGGGGAAAGGTTGCAATTATCTGAAAAGATCCAGGTCTACACCTTGCATGATAAGCTAGCATTATTAAGTATCTTATGCAGCATTTAGCAGTGTTGGCAGCTAAAATGGTACTTTAAAAGTTATTGTTTTTTCCTGTTCTGATTGTATTCAAAATATTCATTTCCAATTTCATTATTTTTTTTAAAAATGTCAAGAAATGTTTGTGGAGTAAAGTCACAAAACAGGAAAACATAAATTTTAGAGGTTTAAAAAGTTTAAAATATCCACATTTATATTTAGTTCCAATAAGTAGTATCTATTAAGGTAGGTAGGATAATTTCAGGTAGTTGTCAAACCAAGTAGGAAATCTGATTATGTCATTCTCACATTTCATTTGCAGCAACTAAATTTTGTGATTGTTGCTTCAATGTCAGTCAAGTCATCTACCAAACTGCGTCAGATTTTAGAGGTGAGGTTCCTTAAAGATAAGGTCTCCACAATCATTTAAGTTGAAGGACAATTTTTCTTTGGTCTTGGGTAGTAATAATTGTTGGCTCCCAGAATGTTGACAACCAAGTTGCAAACTGTTGTCTACATATTCTTAAACCTCAGAATACTTTCTACATTCAATTTAATTGTTTTATGTATTTGTTAGATGTGTAAACCACTATTTCCTCCAGGAAGTCAGTGGCATGCATTGTATTCTATGTATTCCCACACACAAACACACATAGACAACAATCCCATGAGACTGAAAATTGGACTGTCTCAAAGTTATTTAGTATGCCACACTGGCATGAATTTTTAATAACATTAAGCAACAGAGGTCTACCCAGTTCACTTCTTTGTGAATTTGTGGTGTGAGTATGGATTGGGGGGGCATGGAAGGAGTGAGGGAGGAAGAAAGGAAGGATGGAAGGAAGGAAAAAGAAGGAAGGAAGGAAGGAAAAGGTAGGAAGGAAGGAAAGAAAGAAGGTAGGAAGGAAAGAAGGAAGGAAGAGAAGGAAGGAAGGAAGGAAGGTAGGAAGGAAGGAAAGAAAGAAGGTAGGAAGGAAAGAAGGAAGGAAGAGAAGGAAGGAAGGAAGGAAGGTAGGAAGGAAGGAAAGAAAGAAGGTAGGAAGGAAAGAAGGAAGGAAGAGAAGGAAGGAAGGAAGGAAGGTAGGAAGGAAGG